AAAAAAAAAAAAAAAAAAAAAAAAAAAAAAAAAAAGCCATCAAGGATAGGTTATGCTTCCTTAATTTACGAGCATCACGATGCGTGATGAAAAGTTAATTTTTAGTCCGGGTCTTTACTTAAAGACCTGTATGAAAAGGAGGATGTGTGGACTCTGATTGGCTCAGAGTCCAATCAGAGGCTGGTTTTAAACGGGCTGGTCTCTATTTCGGCTCGTTCGCTGGGAACAAGCTCCTATCGTTTCTGCTCCGCTGGCGGGCAAAAGCAAGGAGGAGGCAGATAAATGCTTTAACAACTTTATTCCTCTTTTGAACAAGTACAACGAACAGCTGGCTTCCCTAAAACTAACACGCTGCGCTCCCCACAACAACCGGACACTTTTCTCGCTCTTCTTCCGAGCAGCGCCTTCATGTTGCTCTCTACTGCCCCCTAGGGAAGAGAGGGGGCAGTGGAGAAAGGCTGGGCATGTAAAAGCAGGTTATTGTTTGTACTGACGGTAATCTGAGTCATGTGACTAAACCTTTAATAGTCACATGACATGTGAAATAGAAATATGATGTAGATATATAGCAATAGATATTTAAATCTGAATCACAGTATTTATTTACGGTCTTTGAATGCAGGTCATCTGTGACAATTTAGCCACTTTGTCTTTTTGTTGCCTTGTAAATATTTGTAAAAACAAAAAAGAAAATATTCTACTAGTTTATAAAAAACATAACTATATACTCATTAAATGTATAAGCTTTTAATGACTTATTTTAATTGAGATGCTTCGCTTTGAAAATAATTAAAATTCAAGATGAAAAAACGAAACAACACATTCAAATAGTAATAAGGCCTGTGCGTCATCTGCACCTGATTGGCTCAGCTGGTCATTGGTGACGTGATCCTCGGATTTTAAACTCAAACCCCGAATCCCACGTCACAGATTGACGTCAATGACCGCCTGAACAGAGTCCTTGAATGTAGGCCTAATCATTTTGTTGGATCGCAGGTAAGTTCTTCTAAGAAAAAACAAAAGCAAAAACAAAAAAAAAGAAAAGCCATTAAGGATAGGTTATGCTTCCTTAATTTACGAGCATCACGATGCGGGGTGAAAAGTTAATTTTTAGTCCGGGTCTTTATTTAAATGAAAAGAAGGATGTGTGTAGTATATAGAATTATGCCTATATATAGTACGTTATTTTTTATCCATTATATAACTATTATTAACCAGTTATATAGTGTATAATTCCTTTGTATAATCTGTTAATGACTTATTTTAATTGAAATGCATCATTTGGATCATAATTAAACTTTAAGACTAAAAAAATGAAATCCTACATTCAAATACTTTACGTCATAAGACCTGTGCGTCACCTGGACCAGATATGCTCAGCTTTAGCTTACCTTTAACATACATATTAACAGGTTACACTTGATTCTGCTGTGGTGCCTGTGGAAACAAAGTGCATGAAGTTTGTGCTCAGCTAAAGCCCTGTGGATCACATGGTGGGACTTCTGCTTCAATCTGCTCACTACAGTATAGCATTGCCTCTGTCATCCACCAGTTCACTGCAGACTGGCAGCCGCCAAGGACCCAACATGGATGTCTTCTTAAGTTGTAAACCCTGAGTACATAATGTTGAAATAAAATTGATATGCCTTTTGTAAATACATTTTCTCTATCAATGACTTAAATTGTTAACTGTGATAATTATGTTTGTGTAATGTAGTAACCATGTACAGTGTTTAATATAATTATTAATTATTGCATAGATGTTTTAAAGAAACAGCCACAAACCTCATGTCTTTGTTCCACAATGGCAGCTTTAATTTTAGTATTTCCTCTCCTCCACAAACTTCGTTGCCAGATGTGTAAATTTTACTTGATTCTTAAAGTTACAGACATCCTCTTTTTGTGAGGATTTTTAACTAAGTAAGTTTAATTTTCTTTTCCATTTATTAACCCTGCGGTGGCTCTTTAACAACATTAATTTAAGCTGATTTTATTTGACCTGATAAAGGTGAAAATGAGAACAAATTAAGTTAAACAAATGACCTGGTTAGTATGTAGTGGGATATCTGTAGTTACGATAGTTGACCACCAGAGGGCAGTGAGCGCTCATAATCCAACTCGTTTGTTCTGCAGAACAAAAAGCTGCTCAGCTCCAAATCTTCTTCAATAACAGCAAAACAGAAATACTGAAAGTTTTCTATCTTTATTCTGGTTTTATTTGACTTTGTAAACTCAAACTGATTAATCAAACTTTGATTCTGGACGCAGAAGGAAACACAAGTCACCTGACTTTCTGTGAAAAAGAAACTGAAACTAACTTTGTTATTTCTCTTCAAGTCAGCCTCCATTTTGAGCGGAGGGTGGAAATAACATGTTGACTTGTTA